GAGAAACGTAGTCTGCTTCCTGTTTATAATGAAGCAACGTGGTTGGTTAATTGTTTGACCACTTAATATGGAGAAGGAGGCTGGTAATTTGGTGTCCATTCAATATCTAGTTCATCATTATTCTTTTCATTCTTTGTAAAGTTATGATGCATGCTGAATCTATGCTCAGAGAGAAAATAAACTAGACTTAAAAGTTGAAATGTTTTCCACTTGAGCACACACTCGAATCAGATATACATATATATATATATATATTTATGAGAAGGTCAGTTCTCCCAATCATTTAACAAATATCCCACGTTGTTAACATGAATTCAGTTAATTTGGAATTTAAATTTTGGTACAATATATAGTCTATGACCAAATTATCTATTTATTTATTTTAAATAGCAGGCGTTTTGATAGTCATCGTTAGCCCTTTAGCCGGCTTCAGGCTTCACAGACGGGAAGGAACATCAAAGTGAAAAACGTCGAGAGGCGGAACAGAAGAGTGATTCACTGATATAAAAGAGACAGACAGACACAAAGTCAGAGAAAAGGTAATATGAGTACTACGAAAATTCAAGTATTATCAGTGGGAATAATTGGTTCGAAAATACTTTTAAGAAAGAATGCATCATTAAAACTTTTTTCATTTTAACAGTGGAATACCTCACAGAAGCAATCAAATTAATTTTTAGTAGAGTGGAAAGCGTCAATCAAAATTGTCTGGAGTAAGAACTTTTAGCCCTATTCCTCAGCATTAGTTTGCATGTTTTCGAAGCTTAAGTGATTCTCATTATAATTTTAAGGTGAGATAAGTGTAAGATGCTTAAAGGGGTTACTTAGAAATCAGCGATTATGCAGCAATGTCTACACCCCTCTGGAGTCGTGTTTCTTGTAGGGCTATAGCTTATTGACTTCCGATAATCGATTTACAGCATATCATTCCCGACTGTAAAGCCATTTTAATTGGTCCATAGAGTTAAACCAAAGGACTGTCCTTAACAGATGCAATTTTTTTACTAAAGACCAGTAGGACGCGACTGGACTTGTCGAAATCGGGGAGGGGGGAGGCAAGAGGTGGGGGAGGGTTGTGGCCAATAACATTTTGGAAATCATGGAGGAACTTGGAGGAGAGAAAAGAAATATATAATTAAGGAAATTATGAGAAAATTAACAATTTTTTGTAAACCAATAAACAGCTCGCGAGAGCTTCAATTTACTTTAAACGGAGGGCGAATGAATAACAACGAAGTCGACAGGTTGGTTAGTTAAGTTATGTTTTACCACATGGGGTGTGCAATAGACTTACCTCCACGTGGTACACCCTGTGCAATGCATATTCATACGGCAAAAAGTCTATTAACTGGCAGTTGACTTCTCACTTCAAACTACCATCACCTCACTC